GTTTCCTTGTAAGACTTTATAACATTTAATTTGACGGGCTCAGTACTCTTTACTTAACAATAATCTTTCCAAAGTTCGGATGGCATAATGCAGTTATTATTCCTTCCGCGACATACTCACAGCAGTTACTATACAGAGCACCACACCACCATACGATTTTTCACATTTATAAATTTGTCTGACAGTCCCCAGGGAAAAGTATCTCACCACTATGAACCAGGGAACTTACACCCTCTTAGACAGTCAAGATCAATCGATGACAATTTCAGATCTCCCTCTAGAAGACCGGGCTCTCTCCCCTTCATGTAGAGGCACTTACAAAGGACCTAACATAGGGAACCATATTTCAAAATAGCAAAGAAGCTTTATACTTGTCTTGCTCTGTGTTGGGGCAGGACACACATGTAAAAACTTTCACCCAAGCATGCTCTCACACACTCTCTTCACCCCCAAAGGATTTCATCTGAGACACTGAGCCAAAACTATACACCCAGCTCCGGATTAACTGGCGCAGTCAGGTCTGCAGAGACCATCCAGTATTCTAACACTCACATAGGGTCGGTCACATCTGGAAAACCCGGGTAATCGTATCTCTCGGGAAGGAAGGAGAATCGAGAAGGGATCCCTGAGCCTCTTTGAGCTCTTCAGGCTAAGCCACAGAACTGCAAGGAAGAATTTACTGTACTCAGCAATATTACCGATCTCTCTCGTTGCGGTTGATATTATTAGTCGTATGCTTCCTCGCCCAGTTTCAAGCACTTGGGCGCACAAACATTCACAAATCTATAACCACACAGAAACCTAGTCAATCTTTTCCTCCATTACCCAAACATCACCAAAAACAAAAACAAAAACAAACTCCCTTTGATTTCTCCCCGGGTTACCCTTAGTTGAGCGGAATTGACCTCGCTAAGGAGATAGAATTAAAACCCTACCCTGGTTAAAGTGACTTCCTAAGTCAGAGAGCATCAAGTCTGGTGTCCAGATTCATCTCGCGGGCAGATAAAGCCCCAGACAATTCAGCCAGCTCTTTAGTACATCCTGGGGGTCCCTGCACCCGCCTCCCCTCTTTTTGGCGTCCAAGGAACCCCGCCGACCAGCGACATTTCCCAAGCCGGCTTAAAGGGGCAGGCTTTTGCGTCGCGTGAGGCGAACCGCCAAAGCACTTTGGAAGGCCTTGTAGTCCTTCCGAGCTTTAAGCCTCAGAATGCTCTGCACCAGTGTCTACAAGCGCAAGTTTAGAACTTCTGAGTTATCCTTTTCGACAGGAAGATCCCGAATGTTTGCAGGGGAAAATTTGATGGGATCTGAAGTTAGAACATATAACCAGGGTTAGAAAAGGGAGACTGTCAGGCTACGTGAAGGTCTTTTCAAGGCCGCAACTGGGGAGACCCTGGACTCTCTGCGACTGCGAGTTTGAGGGCAGGAAGAGCGAGGCAAGAAAGCCCGGCGGGTGGCACAATTGGGCCAACAGTACTTGACCCTTCTCTCCCAGTGCCCTAGCGTCTGATTCTCCTGAATCCTGGGGAACTTTGCCTCTTGAACTGGGACACTCATGTGGGCTCCTTGAATCTGAGAAATGCCTTCTTGCCCCCATCGAAGTTCACTGAAAGTTTCAAAGTCCAAGGTTGTGACCCCGAGCTTTTTTCTTTATTTCCACTCCGATTAGTTGGAAACTTGACATAATAGGTGTTTGGGGCCTCGAAGGCTTTTTGCCCTTTTCCTTCCACTGCCCGCCCACCACTCTTTGGATTTTGCTTCGTTATGATAGACGGTCCCGTTATGCAGGCAAGGGATGAGGAAATTATTAGTAGTAGTATTAATGTTATCGTCTCTAGGCTTTCGCCTTGCGAGCAATTAAATAAAGTCAAACTGTAATTGAAACAAGGAGAAAGAGAGAGGAAGGAAAGAAGATTAGAAGGGAAGAAAACAGAAAAGAAGAAAACTGCTCTGGCGCTCTTCTCAGCGTTCCCAGGCTTTGTGAATCTTGTTCCATGCCTAGAACACGGTTATGGTCGTTTATTTAAACTAAATCAAATATAAATACAAACCCCAATTGTCCTTCTAAATAACCACCATCGCGCTCCTCGAGCCCTGTCCGCCCTCGATTTTATTCCCTGGGAAGGAGTTGATATAGTTCTTGACCGTGTTTACCCTCTAAGTGCAGGAGGGGAAGAGGTCGTAATTAGTGATGGGCCAGGGACCCGACGTGCTGAAAGAATCGCCCGCTCTTGTCTTTCCAGATCACAGTTCGGTTGTTTGATTTGGTTACCTTTATTTCCCCCTCTAAACCTGGTCGTAATTTCTGTTGCTGTTGCTATGGGAAAATAAGTAAAAGAGTCCCAGTTCTCCAAATTCAGCAAAGTGCCAACTCGCGCGTTCGCCCCAGGATCTCCTTTCCCTGAGCGCCTCAACTCTCAGACTGAGTTATTTGCCTCGATCGCTCAGCTCGCGGGAGCTATCAAAGAACCTGGGACCCTCTCTGGCAAAGCCTGATCTCCCCTTTAGGAGGATGGCTCACTTTTCCGTCTGTCCGCTCCATGCACAAATGCGGGTGGAACCGTCTTTCCGCGGGGACTTATTCCCACGCAGAGAGTCTTGGGAAAAGTAGGAGCTTCGCAGAAGAGGGAAAGAGATACTACTGATTTCTTTTTTTAAATGCCGCCCCCTCCCCACTCTTTCCTAAAAGAAATCGCTTCTTGCTTCCTTTAAGGGTTCTTTTTTTTTTTTTAAGATAGAAAGTTGACAAACTGGGAGAACTCTACAAAAGTTACCTTCTTTTTGTAGAAGAAGAAAATGAAGGGCTAAAGGTCTGCATGAATAAATATATATTTGCTACTGTTCTTATTATTTTCAAATGTTTACGTTTTCCCCAAAGATTGCTTCCATTTTCCCTTTATTAGCTCTATTTCCTCCCTGGCCACCAAACTCCCAGACCTTGATCTTCCAGCTGAGAAGCAGAGAAAGAAAGATCCAAGAACGTGGCTCTGATTAGGAGAACTTGTGTTATCTCATTTTAACAGTGAAACCACAGAAGAGCTAAGCCGAGGAGGATCCGCCGGCAGTGTGCAACCCTTCAGAAAAAATCAAAGAGAAATATTGTTGCGGGGTGGGGAGAGGGGGAGAAGAAAGACGGGAAATAGACTCCCAATTTTGCTGTCGAAGCTACTCCCTTAGTAATTTTAACTCGGATCGGATGAATATAGAAAGGGAAATGGAACAGGCAGAAACCCCAAACACTGCCTATTCTAAACCTTTGCCAGGGCTCTGGTTACTCGGGAGCGAGAGTACTAAAATAGCGCTACAGAAACGGTTTCACAGAAGGGTTAAGAGGCAGGATGATGGGGTAGAACTCACTATTTGCGACACTTGGAGCCAGAAAACATGGATTCCAGGCCCAGCTCTCTTTTACCTAGATGTGTTTGACCTTGGGCAAGTCGTTTTACCTCCTTTGTGGTTCATTTTCCTCACTAGTAAAATGAAGGAGTTGCACAATATGATTTCCAGAGCTTAACATTCTCTGAGACTTTGAGCACTTGCCCAGGGAAAGAAGCAATACTGAAATCACATTACCAGTGCTCCAATTTCTGTGGCCGTGAATTCGTGGACGTATTCCGCCGATATAAATCTCCTTTTAATTTTCTTTTCACCGTCTAATAAAAATAATTCACCAACACTAAAGCCAAATACCGTAACTTGACACAAAAACACGAAGAATTCATAAAATCCTGTCTCCGAAGTCCACCCTTTAATCGCATTATTATTAGCCTCCTGGCCATGGAAATTGAACTGTCACTGCTTCAAAAAAAAAAAAAAAAATGTAGCAGACAGCTGCCCCCTTCTCCAAATCTTCCCTGGGCCAGACTGTTAGAAGAAACAAGATTTTCTATTTCTTCCCACTGCCCTTGCCCTCTGTAAGTTGACGATCTGGGGTCTCTCTGGCTCTCTTCTCAATTTCTCCCTTCCCAATTTCTCTAAGCGTGTGTCATCTCACCCCTGCCCCCAGATCCATGAGATCGTTTCCAGAAAAGCATCAGAATCTCTGGACTGGATATGTACTGAAACAACCGAAAGAGGCTGCATGTGTCGTATGTGTGCGTGTGTCTAAGTTTCTTCTGATAACAGCTGTTCGACCTAGGCCGGTTTTTCACAGGCGAAATCTTGGCACTTAGTACAAGAAAGACGTAAGCGTTTTTTCTGTTTGAAAACATATCAAGAAGGTAATTTTGTAATATTTTTGCAGATATACACGTCTAATATAAATTAATTGCATGCCTCTGTCTACTCGGATAATAGATGTAAATGTCCAGGGAATGTATCCAAGAGGTAGGCTATGTGAAAAGAATTCCCATATAAATGTGAACTTTAAAACAAATACAGTAATAATGTAATTTCGATCTCTTATCGCTAGGAAAACACTCACGCACACACAACTTCAACCCCAGGAAGGTGGGAAAGGATGAGGGTATGAGCAAGGGGTAAAAAAAAAGTTGGGAGATCCTAAGTAAGCAGGGTTTTCTTTCTGAGGAAGAACTGGTTCACCGGCTCGCTCAAGAGAAGAACTGCTCATTCTCAGGTGCCCAAGTCCTCACATATTTATCGCGGGATCGATTTGGCCCAGAGTTTGGAGGGCACTCCCCAGAAAGGACACCACTTCGCAACTTAATTAACATGCTTCTGCAAGTTAGTTTTATGACAGAATATCAGCAACCACACCATACCTCCCTCCAAAGAAAGAAAGAAAAAAAGTTTTCAAGAGCCGACTCGGGGAAGATTGGAGACATTGGTGCAAAAGACAACAAAACTTTTTCTTTTTAAAGAATTGCAGAAGAAAAAAAGGAAAGACGAAAATGAGGGGCGAAGGAAATAAAAAGTAAAGAAAGGGAGGGGGGAAAAAAAAACAAAGTAAAAGAGAAAAAGGGAAAGGCCAACCCCCCACCTTCCTAGATTTACATTCTGCCCCCTGTCCGGGCGCCGCCTGCTACGCACGCCGTACTCACCGGGGTGGGGCTCCAGGCAGTGAGCCGCGTCCTCGCCGTCTCCGAGCGGTCCCGCGGGGCTCAGGGACTCCATGGACAGATCCAAACCCTTTTCCTCCCAGTCTCGGAGTTTGCGCTTTTTATTTGTCCCAATCAGGGCTTCTACGGAGAAAGCATGTGCTCGGGAGCTCAAGGCGACTGCAGATCTTCTCCTTTCACTCATCTTAGCCGCCCTGCGCCCTGGACCGCCAGCCCACCCGTAGCCGGCTCCAAATCGTGCGCTAAGACGGACCGGCCGGCGGACCCTCAGCCGGGAAGAGGCAGCAGAAGCAGCGGGTGTCTAGAGCAGCAGCGGCTGCGGCAGTGGGTCTCGGCGCTGGCGGAGGTGGTGGCTTCTCAGAGTCCTCTCTACCCCTCCCCCCACCCCCCCCACAGCCCAGCACTGCCACCCCACTCACTCGGCCTCCGACTCCGGAAAGAGTCCCCCGCTGCCCCCGGCAATTAGGAACCTGGGCCCGTAGTGGGGACAGTATTGCTACATGAGCTTGGGGAAGAGGCTGTGGCGCTGGACCCCGGCAGAGTGGAGGCGGCGGCCGCGGCTGCAGTGGTGGAGGCTCCGGGACAGCTGAGCGGTGCTGGCTGGTGTCCCCACCCCTGCCTCTCCCCCCCCCCTTCCCGGGCAGGCTCAAAGACTGTTCGGACTGGATTTCATCTTTTTTTAAATTCTCTCTCTCTCTCTCTCTCTCTCTCTCTCTCTCTCTCTCTCTC